CTTAGTTCAGCCAATCAAAACAGATGTCACTCAAGACTGCTATGTGTAGGGGGTGGTTGATAAGGGGGCAAAAGGGATATAAAAAGCCTGTTTAAGTTTTGTGTATGGTATAGATATAGATCTATCTTCCGTCTTCTACACACCAGCATCCAGTTATGCCAGCACCATTTGTTTAAGATGCTTTCTTTTTTCCATTGTATAATTTTAGCTGCTTTGTCAAAAACCAGGTTTTCATAGGTGTGTGGGTTAATATCAGAGTTTTCAATTCAATTCCATTGGTCTACCTGTCTATTGTACAGGGTTGTTTTGGCTATCCCGGGTCTTTTGTTTTGCCATATAAAGTTGAGTATCGTCCTTTCAAAGACTGTGAAGAATTGTGCTGGGATTTTGATGGGGATTGCATTGAATCTGTAGACTACTTTTGGCAAGACTGCCATTTTTTACTATGTTGATCCTGCCTATCCATGAGCATGGGCGATCTTTCCATTTTCTGATATCTTCTTTAATTTCTTTCTTGAAAATCTCAAAGTTCTTGCTATACAGGTCTTTCAATTGTTTGGTTAGCGTTACTCCAAGCTATTTTATGTTGTCTGTAGATATTGTAAAGGGTGATGTATCATCTGTATATTGTAGCGCTACTGATTTTTTTGAGTTAATTTTGTGTCTTGCCAGGTTATGGATTCAATACAAATCCAGCCACACTGAATCTCTTAGAAGAGAAAGTGGGAGGTACCTTTAAACAAATTAGTATAGGAGACTGCTTCCTGAATATAACATCAGTAGCACAGACACTGAGATAGACAATTAATAAATGGGTCTTCCTGAAACTGAGAAGCTTCTGTAAGGCAAAGGACATAGTCAGCAAGACAAAATGGCAACCCACAGAATGGGAAAAGATATTCACCAACCCCACGTCTGACAGAGGGCTGATCTCCAAAATATACAAAGAACTCAAGAAGCTAGTCACCCAAACACCAAGTAATCCAATAAAAAAGTGGGGTAAGGAACTAAATAGAGAATTCTCAATAGAGGAATCTAAAATAGTTAAAAGACATTTAAGAAAGTGTTCAACAGCCTTAGCCATCAGGGAAATGAAAATCAAAACGACTCAGAGATACCATCTTACTCTTGTCAGAATGGCTAAAATAAAAAACACCAATGACAGCTTATGCTGGAGTGGATGTGAAGAAAGGGGCACACTCCTCCACTGCTGATGGGAGTGCAAACTCACAGTCACTTTGGAAATCAGTATGGCGGTTCCTCAGGAAAATCAGTCTATCACAAAGTCCAGCAATTCCACTCTTAGGCATATACTCAAAAGATGCACATTCATGCAACAAAGACATCTGTTCAACTATGTTCATAGCAGCATTATTTGTAATAGCCAGAACCTGGAAGCAACCTAGATGCCCCTCAACTGAAGAATGGATAAAGAAGATGTGGTAATTTACACAATGGAATACTACTCAACAGAAAAAAAAAATGGAATCTTGAAATTCGCAGGCAAATGGATGGAACTAGAAGAAACTGTTATGAGTAGTTTTCCCTGCCAGCCTGGTCCCACAGCTGCACAGCCTCAAATAACACACAGAGATGCGGTATTAGATATAAAGCTGTTAGCCTGTTACTAACATTTCTTATTGGATAGCTCTGTCTTAAATATTAACCCATTTCTATTAATCTAAGTATTTCCATGTGGTCTTATATTACTGGGGAGAGGGCCCGGAGTTCTGCTCTCTTGGTCCTACATTTTGAATCTCCTCCTACCTCTTCCCAAATCCTCCTTGTCTCCTAGTCCCACCTATCTAGCTTTCCTATTAGGCAACAGTGCTTTATTCATTAACCAATAAGAGAAACATATTTACAGAATGACATCTCCCATCAAAAAACCTCCTGAGTGGGGTAACCCAGTCACAAAAAAGAGGAACATGGTATGTACTTACTCACTTATATATGGATTTTAGACAAAGAGCAAAGATCACCAGCCTACAATTCACACCACCAGAGAAGCTGGGAAACAAGGACTCTAAGAGAGAGAGAGACATACATGGTTCCTCACAGAAGGGGAAAGGAACAAAATCTCCTGAGCAAATTGGGAGGGGGGCAGGGAGAAGGAGTTAGGAGAAAGAGAAGGGGAGAAGAGGAGGGGAGAGGAGGACATGAGGGAGCAGGAAGATTGAGTCAGGGGAAGAATAGAGGAGAGCAAGAAAAGAGATACCATAATAGAGGGAGCCATTATAAGCTTTAAGTGAAATCTGGCACTAGAGAAATGTCTAGAGACCTACAAGGATGACCCCAATTAACAATCTAAGCAATAGTAGAGAGGCTACCTTAAATGCTCTTCCCTGATAATGAGATTGGTGACTACCTTATATGTCATTCTAGAGCCTCATTCAGTAGCTGTTGGAAACAGAAGCAGACACCCACAGCTAAAGAGTGAGCCAAACTCCTGGAATCCAGATGCAGAGAGGGAGAAGTGAGGAGCAAAGGGCTCAAGGCCAGGCTGGAGAAACCCACAGAAACAGCTGACCTGAACAAGGGGGAGCTCATGGACCCAGATTGATAGCTGGTAAACCAGGCTAAGACTGACCCAGACCCTTGAACAAGGGTCTCAGTTAGGAGGCCTGAGAAGTGTATGATATCTCTGACAATGGAACCAGGATTTATCCCTAGTGCAGGAACGGACTTCAGGAGCCCATTCCCCATTGAGAAATACTCCCTTAGCCTAGAGACATGGGGGAGGGCCTAGGCCCCACCCCAAATAATTTGATAGACTTTGATGATCCCTTACAGAAGGCCTCACCCTCCCTGGGGAGTGGATGGGGGATGGGGTTGGGGGTCTGCAGGGGGGCATGGGAGAATGGGAGAGGAAAAGGGGATCGATATATAAAATAAGAAAAAAATATTTTTAAAAAAGCCTGTTTAACTGAACTCAGAGCTCCATTTTGGGACTGATGTCTGGGCCTATCATACACACAATAATTAGCTTCTGGTTTTCAGTGTGGATGTCTCATTTCTTGGCCATTCTTTACAGTATTTCTAGCTTCCTAGATGGGAAATGAGACTGTTTACACCTCCCTGGTCTTCACAGCGCTGGGCTTCCCAGGGCACTGGGAGCAGCTGCTTGTCTGATACCATTGGGCCATCTTATCCATATGAGATTGGCCCTCCTGCAGTGCCAGGATTGGCTCTCTGAAGCACAAGGGAGCCTAGCCTAGCCTCAGGAAGCAGGCCAGGAACTTTGCCTGTATCAGATCCAGGTCCATTTGGTTTTGGATATTTGATTAACCTACCTTTTGGGATGGGAGAGAAGCTAGATCATTTTCTAAGAGTTCTAGAGCTATCCAAATAACTTGTTAAAAAGGAAAAGCAGCTCTACATGGTGACTCCTGAGGACTGGAGGGGTTGGAGTCATATTAATATGCAGGTCTGGAGACAGGAATGGCAGCATCTGGCTCCAGGCACTTTGTCCTTATCTGTGAGTTTTACATCAGGTTCTAGTTTATAGAAACCACCAAACACCCGGTGAAGTGAATGGAGCCAACAGAAGTTCCTTGCTCTTCCCTCTTTGCTCTTATTCGTGAATGCCGCTCAACAGAAGGCATGGGAGGCAACCGAGTAAGCCTACACTTTTATGCTGCGTGATGGAAAAGACGTTCAGAGAAATGTAATGCCCAGCTATCTCCTGGAAAACATGTGCCTTCTGTAAAATCTTCTGGGATGGGATGCTCCACTGAATGGTCACCCCTGCCGCACCTGTGCACCCCGCCCCCCCATCCCCTGTCAGGAGAAGGACCAGATGGTGTAACACAGCATGACTGTCTGAGGGTGAACAGTTTGCACAGGCTGGACATGCATTCTGTCTCTTATTGATTTGTTTGTTTGTTTTGAGACAGGGATTCTCTGTCTGTCCTGGAACTTCCTTTGTAGACCAGGCTGGCTTCAAACTCAGAGATCTTCCTGTCTTTGATGCGGAGTGCTAGAATTAAAGGTGTGTGCTATCACTGCCTGACCCCTTATTGGTTTTGTTGATTTCCTTGAGACAGTGTCTCTCTCTGTCTCTTTCTTTTTAGTCTTTGCTTTTTTGGGAGCCCACCACTCAGCTCCCAAATAAATACACAGAGGTTTATTCTTTCTTATGAATGCCCAGCCTTATCTTGACTTATTTCTAGTCAGCTTTTCTTAAATTATCTCGTCTACCTTTTGTCTCTGGGTTTTTTATCTTTCTCTATTTTATATACGTTTTGTTTGTTTGTTTGTTTTGATTTGTTTTGTTTTGTGAGGCAGAGTTTCTCGGTGTAGCTTTGTAGACCAGGCTGGCCTTGAACTCAAAGAAATCCACCTGCCTCTGCCTCCCAAGTTCTGGGATTAAAGGCGTGTGCCACCACCGCCTGGCCTATATACCTTTCTTTGCTTCTTACTCAGTGGCTAGCCCCTGATGTCCTTTTCTCCTTTTCTTGCTCCTTTCTCTCCTCCAAGATTTCCCCTCCTATTTATTCTCTCTGCCTGCCAGCCCCACCTATCTACCTTTCTCCTGCCTTGCTATTGGCCATTCAGCTCTTTGTTAGATCAATCAGGTGCTTTAGACAGGCAAAGTAACATGGCTTCTCAGAGTTAAACAAATGTAACATAAAAGAATGCAACATATCCTTGCATCATTAGACAAATATTCTGCAGCATAAACAAATATAACACATGTTAAAATAATATCTACAACAAGACAGAATTCATAGCAATCCTCCTGCCTCAGCGTCCCCAGTGCTGGGATGACAGGCATGCACTACCACATCCAAGTTTCCCCTTATTAATGTAGAAAAGGGTAACTGAAGCCTGAATGGAGCAGTGCATAGATTTCAGACAAAGAGCGGAGGCAGAATGTTAGATTCCTGGAGCTGTAGTGATAACATGGATACTGGCAATTAAACTTGGCTCCTGTGGGAGAGCTGCATCTGAGCTAATCTGCCTCTCCAGCTTTACAATGGTGACAATAGTAAGCCAGGATGGGTAGTACTGGCAAGCCAGGGTCCAGAGTTCTGGTGTCTGGTGCTGAGGATGAACAGGAGGTGGGGACAGTGATGGTGCTCTATGCAGTCAGTTGCAGCAGGTCAGAACAATTAGCTAGTGGTTCCAAGGGGTGGGGAGAAGTTGGGGGAGAGTATGGATATGGTGGTTGGAATGAAAATAGCCCCCTTAGACTCATAGGGAATGGCAGTATTGAGGTGTGGTCTTGTTGGAGTAGGTGTGGCCTTGTTGGAGGAAGTATGTCACAAGGGGGTGGGCTTTGAGATATCAGAAGCTCTAGCCAAGCCCAGTGTCACTCTCTCTTCCTGCTGCCTACAGATTCAGTCATAGAACTCTCAGTTACCTCTGCAGTCCCATGTCTGTCTGGGTGGCAACATGCTTCTTGGTGTGATGATAATGGACTAAGCCTCTGAAGTGTAAAACAGCCCTAATTAAATGTTTTTCTTTATAAGAAAAATGGTGTCTCTTCACAGCAATAGAAACCCTAACTATGACAATGGATGTTAAGTGATTAAAAATTATCCAGAAAGAACGGACATGTGAGGGTTTCAGGACCCTAGATTTGTCCTGAGCATCCTGAGTAACAATATGAAGTCAGCAACTCCTTCCTCCCACAGAGGCAGGGTCTTTGGGAAGCAGCCTTGCACAGCTGACATGGCACTCACTGCAGACTGGGAACACCGATGGAGTGAGGGATGATTTGTGACTGCTGTCCCCAAAGGAGGATTCCAATTAATCTTCCCCTACTCTGGGGCTCAGAGCTGGATGCTGGGGAAGAAGACCCTGGGGTGTCTAGTTCCTCATAGCACCAGCCTGGTCCTGGGGGACTTGTTAGTGACTGCAGAGGTTCTGGGACAGCAGCTCCAGGGACCCCAGAAGAGGAGAATGTGGGCCCTCAGCCCCTTCCTTCTTAGACAGAGAGGGATGTTCTCGGTGATGTGAGAGCCTGACCTGGCCATGGTGAGTGACATTCTGGCTGCAGAAGCCACCTGCCCAGCCCCACCTTCGGTGAAACCTAAAAATGAGTGGAGGGGGGAAATTGTTTAGATTGCCTGGACAATGGCACCCTTCCACGGAGCTTGTTTCCAAGGTGATTCTAGTGTTGAGTTGAGTTTGTGGGGTCCCAGAGATGTGCAATGTGCTCAGAAGGGAACAAGAGGAGCCTCCTCCAGCCCTGAACACTGCAGACACAGAACCATGACAAGATGAGTGTGCTTGGGTGTGTGGACTGCACGCTATGTAACCCAGAGCTCCATGCGCACAGACACACACGTACAGAACCTGGTAGAGTGAGAGCCAGAGCATCAGGGAAGGGACTCCAGCCTTAGGGGCTCCTGATGAGAAGAAATAGAAGGAGGGACCAGCCCCTGTCCCTAGCACTCCTGGCTGTCTGTCCTCCCACACTTGCAGGAAGGACCCTGGGTCTGGTGCTGCCACAGTGGGCACAACAGTGGCACCCACAGGTAAGCCTTGAACTCAGCACCCTCGGTTAAGTCCTTCAGGCCAGTGCTGTTCTGGAACCTTCAGTGGGCATGAGTTTCACGGGTTCCAGGTGGGGCTTGCTGGTCCTATTAAATGACTCTTTGGAGCAGGCAGTCTCCCCATCTAAGAGATGAGAACAGGGATCTGCATACATTCAGTGGAAATCCAACTCCAGACCCTCTTCTGTTGCAGAGTGGTTTCCTGCTTTTCTTGTAGTCCTAATGCTATTTGGCAGATTTCACTATCAACTGTGGGTCTGTAGGACTCATTTCTGGGTTCTCAGAATAGGCTTAGGGGAGCACAACAGCTGCCTATTGTCCTGCTATCCCCAATCTCAGCACAGTATCTTCCATCCACCAGGCAAGCCTCTGCCCTAGGAACTCCATTGCATGCTGATTTTGGGTACCAGGAGAGAGTAGATGAGGACAGCTGGTCCTGTGTTTTCACTTCCTTGAGCCAGGCTCTTTTAGTTGTCAAAATGTTGGTAACTTGAGTTCTTTGTTTGAGTCTGGTTTTCCAGCTCATCATGAAGGTGCTTATTGATGAAAAGCCTTAGACTACTGGCAGTCTAGCCAAGACAGGACTTCCTGTTCTTCTCAGTCTTTGGGTTGGGGACTTGGTCACAGCACTATTCTTCAACTGTGGGTTCATAGGGTCACAGCCAGCTTCCCAGGAGTCATCTCATCCCATGCAAGGGACATTCAGATCCAGAGTTATTAGGCTTAGGAGATGCAGCTCACTGTCCCCACTGTCCCTGTCTGTCAGAGCACACAATTTCTGCTCTAAGTAACAGCGATCGCTTCCTAGGTAACGACCCTCCTGTCTGTGAAGGTGAGCAAGCAAAGCTTGATGTCCTGTGGTAAATTCACTCCTATGCTGAGTATATGTTGAGGGAAGATTCCTTTCTTAGTCTCCTCTTTAAGCTAGATGCTGAAAGTGGTGTCTGGGGAGAGGCCAGTGAGAATACATAGAAAGAAGGTCTTTCCTCTATCATCAGTGGTTCTCAACCTTCCTGATGCTGCGACACTTTAATACACTTCCTCATGTTGTGATGACCCCCAACCACAAAATTATTTCATTGCTGCTTCATAACTGCAATTTTGCTACTGTTATGGATCGTAACGTAAGAATATCTGATATGCAGGATGTCTGCTGTGGTCGTTTGCCCTCAAAGGGATCGTGACCCACAGGTTGAGAACAGCTGCTTCATATGATAACCATAAATTGGTAATCTGACAGCTAGCTCTGAGATTGGTTCCAAGAGTCACTCCCTCAGAACCTGGGAGGTATATGTAACCCCAGCATTTGGTAAGTAGGAAGATTGCGAGTTCTAGGTCAGCCTGTACTACATAGTGAGACCCTTCCTTAAAAAAATAAAAGCTATCACCTCACTGGAAAATTTGAATTTGCTTTTGTTCCCAAATATCTTCTTTCTGATGAGGTTGTCTTGTGGCTTTCCAGTTAAGGTCTGTTTGAGCCCACAGCTCACCTTCCACTGATGCTGGCTCTGCTGAAAAGCTTAATTGCAATGCTTCTTGAAGAGATGGTTTATTTGTTGTTTTATGTGTATGAATGTTTGCCTGCATGTAATACACCATGGGCATGCAGCTGCTTGCACATGTTGGAAAGGGCAACAGAGTCCCTAGAACTAGAGTTTGCAGGTGGTATGAGCTGCCATGTCAGTGCTGGGACTCTGAATCCAGGCTCTCTGGAATAGCAGCCTGCTGCTGAGCCACCTCTACAGACTGTGTTGAGACAGGATCTCACTATGTAATTCTAGCTGGTCTTGAACTCACTACGTAGATGAGGCTGGCCTGAAACAGAGATCTGCCTGTCTCTGTCTGGGGAGTTCTGGGGTTAAAGTTGTGGGCTACCACACCCCACGACTTTAAGGCAGCATCTCATACAACACAGCTGGCCCGAGACTCACTATGCAACTGAGGATGACATTAGTCTCCTGGTCCTCTTGCTTCCACCTCTGGAGTATTTTATTATAAGTTTTGTCACTATGTCCAGCTAATCAAGTTCAGTTTGACAGTTTAAAAAATGCATATACATATATGCAATTTATCTATTTATTTAATCATTCATTTATTTATTGAGGCAGAGTTTCTTTGTGTAGCCCTGGCTGTTCTTGAGCTCACTTGTAGGCCAAGCTGCCCTTGAACTTACAGAGAGCTGCCTGCCTCTGTCTCCAGAGTGCTGGGATTAAAGGAGTCCACCACCACTGCTTGGCAAAAATGCACATTTTTCTGAATGAGGTAAAGCTCACATAACAGTATTAACTATGTTAAAAGAAAATTCAGCATTGTTGAAGGCATTTGTATGCCATGCAAATGTCACCTCATTGCATTTTTCATTTTTATGGTGGTGTTGGGTGTGTGGAATTTCAGGCTTTATGTATGTTAGATAAACATTCTACCACTGAGCTGTACTCCTAGCCCTACCTCTATTTCCCATCAGTACATTTTCTCATCTCTAAAAGAGACTCCTTCTTTACTAGCAACCACTCCTTAATCACCACCACCCCTCCCCCAGCCCCTGAGAGCTGCCACTCTGACCTCTGTTCTTTGGCTTCATACACCATGGACATTTTATATAGATGGAGCTATACAGGGCTGGGGAGACGGCTCAGATGGTAGAGAGCTTGCTATACAAGCGTGAGGATCTGAGTTGGGATCCCCAGAATCCATGCATGGCGGTTCACACCTGTAACTTCAGCACCAGGGGATGAAGATGGGAGGCTCCTTGGCGCTTGGCAGCCAGTGATTATAGCTGCAATGCTCCAGATTCCATGATAGAATCTCTCAAAAATTATGGTAGAGAGCGATAAAGGATGTCAGCCCTTGCTACCTACATGTGCACCCATGGCGAATGTACCCACGAATACACAAAGAAGAAAAAGAAAGAAAGGAGGGAACAAATGAACATAGTAAGGAAGGAAGTTGTGCAGAATCTGGCATCTGTGTCTGGTCTCTTTCACTCAGCACTGCATTCCTAAAGTCCCTCCCAGAGAGTTGTTCCATGGATCAGAGTGTCATTCTGTTCCGGGGGTGAACAATATTTCATTATGAAGACAAAACCACACCCCTGTTGATCCACTCACTTGTGGGTGGGCATTCAGGTTGTTACTACATTTTGGTGATTTTGAATAATGGTGATATAGAGGAGGGTTGCCATGACTACCTGACATTTACGTGAGTTTCTGGAGATCTGAATTATGGTTCTCATGGCTGAACAGCTAGAGCTTTAACACCGAACCATCTCTGTAGAAATTCTTAAACAACCACTTCCAGTCTTTGGATCGGAACCGAGGAGTGGAGATGTTGTGTTATGGTAACTGTGAAGTCAGCTTTGAGGGTCTAGCTTTCTTGTTTTAACTTGCATTAATTTGTCATGAGATTGAGTTTTCTTCCTTATAGATATTGGAAATTTGCATTTGCATTTTCTGTTTTTATGTTTTGTCTTGTTTCTTAATGTTCTCTTGGGATGTTATAAGGCCATTGTTAGTCTCTGGTAGGAGGGATACAGGCAGTGGTAGTGACCCATTTCCTCTCTCCCTTCCTCTCTCCATCCCTCCCTCCTTCCCTCTCTCCCTTCTTACCTCCCTCTTTCCCTCCCTTCTTTCCTCCCTCTTCTTCACTTATTTGTTTTTCTTCCAATACAGGGTCTCACTATGTAGCTCTGGCTGATCTGGAACTCACTCTGTAGCCAGGCTGGCCTCAAACTCACAGAGATCCACCTGCCTCTGCCTCCTGAGTGCTGGGATTAAAGGAGTGCACCACCACACCTGGCTTCTGGCCATTTTCATTTTAGCTCACCACAAGGGTGAAAAATATCCATACAGTCAAGGTTATGTGTTAGCCTTGAGCTTGCATCCCATTGTGGACAATGCTCTACAGGGTCACAGTATTCCTTCCTTAGGTGGCTCCCATCACCAGCAGGGGCTGAGAGCACACATTCCCATGGGTTCATCCCTTGACAGACTGGTGCATGCTCCTGGGTGTGGTCCAGCATGGCTGCTGTGGAGGCTGCAGCTTGAACTTGCACACAAGGCCTTTCTAGTGATGCTGGAGCTTGGAGTGGGGAAGGAAGGGACAGTGTGTGGGCCGAGAGCAGGTTCAAGGTGCTTATCTCCAGTACCAATACTGTCTGCTCTGGAATTTGGAGGGATCTAGGAATTCTACACTTTAATTTTGCTTTTAAGGATGTCACGAAGGCATGACCTTTCATTCATTTTCCTTTTTAAAAATTACATTTGCTGGGAGATGGTGGCACACGCCTTTAATCCCAGCACTGGGGAGGCAGAGGCAGGCAGATCTCTGTATGATTGAGGTCAGCCTGGTCTACAAAGGGAGTTCCAGGATAGTCTCCAAAGCTACAGAGAAACCCTGTCTTAAAATACAAAAGCAAAAAATTAATTAATTAATTAATTAATTTGTATGTGTACCACATCCTTGTGGAGGTCAGAGGACAACTTGTGACACTTGATTCTCTCCTTGCATCTTGTGAGTCCTGCGGGATCAAACTCAAGTCATCGTGCTTGCCTGCAGTAGCCTTTACCATCTAAGGCATCATACTAGCTTCACTTTTTCTATCAGTCTTAGCCTGCATTTCCCTCCCACTTTCTGCACTCTCTTTTGTTCCTCTGCACTCTATAGCCAGGCTGCTTAAGTCACTATCCTTCTGTCTCAGAATGCTAGGATTAAAGGTGTGATTCTCCATACCCGGCCAATGCCTCATTTTTCAAAGCGGTGGCGGTGGTGGAGGTGGAGGTGGAGGAATACTCTTCTCTTCTCCCCTTCTCTATCTTCTCCTCCCTCTTCTCCCTTTCCTTTCTTTGACACAGGGTCTCTCCATGTAGCTTAGGTGGCTATGGAACTCAGGGTCCTTCCCAAGTTCCCAATCTAACAGCTGCTGGGGTTAGAGTCGTGCATCAACCCACCATCCCGGCATCTGCAGTTATATTTGCTTTTCTTTCTGGAGATTTCTAATCAGGGTTTGCTCTTTTTCATAGCATGAATTCCTTGGGGAGTCTCACTGGAGTTCCTCTTGAGTAGGAATCCTTTTGGTTTTTGAAAATTATGTTAAGTGTACAAAGGGAACAGCTTCCTTATATTTATATATGCTCATGTTATCACTTTGGCCATTTTTACTCTTGCTATATAACTTTTCTTATCCCCACCTTTCCCTCTTTCTCTTCTTCCAGGATGGCTTTGAACTTGTGATTCATGCCCATCCTTGCCTGCCCTCCCAGGTCGTGGGATCCTTGGTATGTGTTGTCATACCTGGCTGTGTCCTCTTAGTTTTATTTGTGTAATATCGGGAATTAGCAAATGATAGTCCAAGGGCCAAACTTGTCCCTCTGATTATTTGTATTAAAGTTTTATTGGGCCAAGGATGGGTGTGCACACCTTTCAATCCCAGCACTTGGTAGGCAAAGGTAGGCATATTTCTATGAGTTTAAAGCTTGATTGGTTTATATATCAGGTTCCAAGTCAGCTAATGCTATAGAGTGAGACCCTGTCTTAAAAAAAAATCCAAAATAATTAACATTTTACTGAAGCATAGCTACATAAATTCATAATGCTTATGGCTACTTCTTGCTAGAATGAGGTTCAACCGTGGCTCTCCTCTTCCTATTCTCTCTCTCTCTCTCTCTCTGCCTTTGTATTCTTTTTTTCTTATTTTACATATTGATCCCAGTTCCCTCTCCATCCCTCTCTTCCTGCCTCCCTCTCTCCTTCCCTCTCTCCCATGATTCCTCCCCTCCCATCCCCCCCTCCACAGGGAGGGTGATGCCTTCCAGGAGGGATCAACAAAATCTGTCAAGTCATTTGGAGTAGCAACTAGGCCCTCCCTACTGCCTCTAGGTTAAGGGAGTATCCCTCCTGGGGAATGTGCCCCCAAAGTCCTTTTGTGCACCAGGGATAGATACATCCTGGTTCCACTATCAAAGGTCCCTTAGACTGCCCAGGCTTTCTAACTGAGACCCATGTTCAGGGGGTCTGAGTCAGTCCAATGCTGGTTTCCCAGATATCAGACTGGGGGTTCATTAGCTCCTCCTTGTTCAGGCCAGCTGTCTCTGTGGGTTTCTGTAGCCTGATCTTGTCCCCATTTTCTTATCACTCCTCCCTCTCTGCATCTGGATTCCAGTTCAGCTCAGTGTTTAGCTGTGGGTGTCTGCTTCTGTTTCCATTAGCTACTAGCTGAGGGCTCTATAATAACAGATAAGTTAGTCATCAATCTCATTATCATCCTGAATGAGGTAAACCAGTCGCAAAAAGAGGAACATGGTATGTACTCACTCATATATGGATTTTAGACATAGAGCAAAGGATCACCAGCCTATAATTCACACTGCCAGAGAAACTAGGATACAAGGAGGAACCTAAGAGATTCATACAAGGTCCCACACAGAAGGGGAAAGGGACAAGAATGGGAGGGAGCTGGGAGAAAGAGAAGGGGAGGAGAGGAAAGCATGTGGGACTAGGAAGATTGAGTCAGGGGAGGAATAGATGAGAGAGAGAGGGGAGAGAGAGAGAGAGAATAAAAGAGGGAGACATCTTTCTATTCTTTTTTTCCTCCCACTCCCCCCCCACTCCACATGTAGGGGAATGCCATCCAGGTGGGATCATGTAGATATGACAGGTCATTTGAAGTAGGGACTAGGGCTTCTCTCCTGTCTCTAGGTTAAGGCATTTATCCTTCCATGGGGGATGTGTCCACAAGGTCCTTTTGTGCACCAGGAATATATCCTGGTTCTACTGTCTGAGGTCCCTTAGACTGCTCAGTCCTTCTAGCTGACATCCATGTTCAGGGTGTCTGAGTCAGTCTCATGCTGGATTCCCAGCTATTAGTCTGGGGGCTGCCTGCCATCTTTCCATTCTTTAGAAGAAGCCTATCTTTGGTTTCAAACAAGCACATTTTTTTTTTTTTCTAGGCAAGGTTTCTCTGTGTAGCTTTGGAGCCTGTCCTGGAACTCTGTACACCAGGCTGGCCTCAAACTCACAGAGATCTGTTTGCCTCTGCCTCCTGAGTTCTGGGATTAAAGGTATGTGCCACTACCACCTGGCTAATTCTTATCTTCTTACAAACTGAGGAGATGCCTTGCTGGCTGGGTAATAACTGATCATTTCCAAGTCCCTCTGTCCTGTCTGCAAATCAGTGATGATTTTCCTACCCCCACCTGAGGCCTCATGACCCGCCTTGTCCCAGTAATCCTGTCTCCTCTCAGGCTCCTGAGAAGCAGTGGGACAATGGGACCTGGCTGGTGACAGAGTTCGTGCTGGTGGGATTCTCCAACCTCCCAGAACTGAGGCCCACCCTCTTCACCTTGTTCCTCCTCACCTACCTGGTCACACTCAGTGGCAACGCCACCATCATCACCATCATCCAGGTGGATCGCACCCTCCACACTCCCATGTACCGCTTCCTGGCTGTGCTCTCCCTCTCTGAGACCTGCTACACACTGGTCACCATCCCCAATATGCTGGCCCACCTGCTGATGGAGAGCCAGGCCATCTCCATCGCAGGCTGCCGGGCTCAGATGTTCTTTTTTCTGGGCTTGGGATGCAGTCACTGTTTCCTCCTTACGCTGATGGGTTATGACAGGTATGTGGCCATCTGCCATCCCTTGCGATACTCTGTGATCATGAGGCCCACCGTTTGCCTGTGTCTGGGAGCTTTGGTTTTCTGCTCTGGTTTCTCGGTGGCCTTGGTCGAAACCTGCATGATCTTCTCCTCGCCCTTCTGCGGCACAGGCCGTGTGGAGCACTTCTTCTGTGACATCGCGCCTGTGCTGAAGCTCAGCTGTGCAGAGAGCACGCACAAGGGGCTTGGCATCTTCTTCCTGAGCATCCTCGTGGTGCTGTTTTCCTTCCTCCTTATCCTCCTCTCCTACGCCTTCATCGTGGTGGCCATCTTGAGGATCCCTTCGGCCTCGGGCCGGCGCAAAGCCTTCTCCACCTGTGCGGCCCACCTCACAGTGGTCATCGTGCATTTTGGCTGTGCCTCCATCATCTACCTGCGGCCAGACTCTGGGGCCAACCCCTCCCAGGACCGCCTGGTGGCGGTGTTCTACACGGTGGTGACGCCCTTGCTGAACCCTGTGGTCTACACCTTGAGGAACAAGGAGGTGAGGGTGGCCCTGAGGAAGAACCTGGCTCGGGGCTGTGGAGTATTTAAGTAAGAACTTATTTTTGGGCTTGAACTTCTTTAATAATTAATACAAGTATATTTTAAAAAAGAGAAGACCTTGCTTTGTGCTGTTCACAACACCCTATGCTTCCGTGAACGCGTTCCCTCTGGAACTCTTTCACTACTGGGAAAATAGGAGGCAATCCTGTGCCAGATGAAGGAACCCTGTTGTCTGTCAGAGCCTGAGACAATGTAACCGCAATAAAGGATGCCTTTTCTTTTTTCTGGTTTCCTTGACTTGATGTGATGCAATGTGGTCTGCAGTGCCTAATGTTCACCAGGGGAGGCGCCAGTGATACAACCCAAGGCTGCAGATGGCAGAGAGCAGCAGTTTTTTTTTTTTTTTTTTTTTTCTCTTTTCTTTAAAAGTTTTTCTTTTGTCGGGTCATGGTGGTGCATGCCTTTAATCCCAGCACTTGGGAGGCAGAGGCAAGCGGATCTCTGTGAGTTCAAGGACAGTCTGGTCTACAGAGCAAGTTCCAGAATAGCTGGGGCTGATACACAGAGAAACCCTATCTTGAAAAACAAAACGAACAAACAAAAAATTTATTTTATTAAATTTGTAGTTTCTTAACTTTTTCATGCAGTATATTTTGATTACATTCTTTCTCTTACCAGATTTTCCCTCCTCCCTACCTTATGTTACTGCATTGTTCCACCCCCACCCACCAACATATAGCAGTTTTTAAAGAAATAGTCTATGAGTTTAAACTTTTATTTTGAGAACTTCATATATGAGAACTGCATCTACACATCGCTCTCGTCCCCCACCCTGCTCCAGTGTCCACAGAAAGAAGGTTTTAACCAGGACAGGGAGTGGAGACCAGGGGCCAGGGATGAAGCTCAGTGGGGATGTATGCCTAGCACGTGCCAGGCCCTGGGTGTTTCTTGTCTTTGTTTTTCTCCCAGATGCTCAACATTACTTTTTGGTCACTGCACTTCCAGAGTTCAGTTCCTAGCACCTACATCAGGTGGCAGCATCTTCGCCAGTTGGCTTACAATTGAAGCCTTTACAATTGGAGACTTTAACTCCAGTTTCGGGAGATATGACATCTTCTCCTGGCCTCTGTGGTCACTCACGTGCATACACATACTTAAAAAAATAAAAAGTGAGCTCTCTTTCTCTCATCTCATGGTCCCATGTCTAGTTTCATGATTGCACCCCACCTCCATATTTACACATATATCAATTTATACTAGGGTCCACACATGAAAGAAAACATATGCTACACATATATCTTAAAAGTTTCATTAAAATCATTACTTTAAAAATATGTATGGGTCTTAGACCTGCAGGCATGTCCGTGCACCAAGTGTGTGTGTGTGGTATCCATGGAGGCCAGAAGACTTGCACTGGATCCCCTGAATCCAGTTGTAGATGGCTGTGAACTGCCCCGTGGGTACTGGGAACACAGGTCCTCTGGAAGAACAGCCAGTGTAGCCACCTTTCTGAATCCGGCTTATTTCACTTGATATAAAGTTCCATGCATCTTCTTGTAACTGATTTAATCTTTCCTTATGGCTGAATAAAGTCCATTAGGTGTGTGCACTGGTTTTCTTTACCCATTTATAGTGAGTGGACATTTAGTCTGGTTTGATCTCCTTGATAATGGGAATAAAGCATCAATAAACATGGATGTGCAAGGATCTTTGTGCTAGGTTGATCTAGAGTCCCTCAGATACATGCTCAGGGATGCCTCCTCCAGGAAACCTGTGTGTGGACCTCTTCGGTGGTTACACCAGACTCAGATCCCACCACCAGCATTGAGAATTTCTCTTTCCTCACATCCTGACAACTATTTGTGTCAGCGCTTTTCTTGGTGACAGACATTCTCACTAGGGTCCATGTTATGAGAGGGAGCCCATGCCTGATACTGCCTGAATGACCAGGAAGTGGAGGCTGGACAGCCCAGAGACCTAGAGTAGAACCAAGCATGACTAGCCAAAAATGAAAAAAAGAAGTCAATGAAATGATTTCTAAAGATGTTCTGCTATAGAACACCATAGACCAGTGCCTAGTCCTATTATCATCAGAGAGGCTGCCATTGGTAGCTGACCTAGAGCCAAACATTAGGCAAAGAACCCACATTGGAGGTCCCCATTGGGCCCTCTCCTTGGAGCTTAGGAAACCCTGCAGAAGAGGGGGAGCAGGAATTGTTGGAAGCAGAAAGGTTGAGGACACTGGGAGAGCATGGCCTGCATAGGGGCTCATAGAGACTGCAGCAGCAATCACCGAGCCAGCGCCGAGCTGCTCTAGCTTCTCTGCATGTATGCTGTGGATGTTGGCTTGGTGTTTTTATGGGACTCCTGACAGTAGGAGTGGGGGTGATCCTGACTCTTGCCTGCTCTTAGGACCCTTTTCCTTCTACTGGGTTGTCTTGGTTAGCTTTGTTATGAGGGTTTGTGCCCAGTCTTATTTCATTTTGCTATGTCCTGTTCATTTGATGTCCCTGGGAGGGCTGTTCTTTTCTGGGAGGAGATGGTGCGTGCATGCGTGCATGCGTGCGTGCGCGTGTGCGTGTGTGTGTGTGTGTGTGTGTGTGTGTGTGAGACAGAGAGAGAGAGAGAGAGAGACTGGGAGACCTGGAGGGAGGGGAAGCTATGGTCAGGATGTATTGTATGAGAGAAGACTAAATACAAACAAGAAAAAAAACTTTCATAGAATAACTGATACTGAAATTACTTAAAATGTTTCTCGATGTAAAAAGGAAGCAAGGCTTCCAGGCTATGAAGCTAGTATTCCCTGATCCCAAACAAGATAAAGAAACACAAATGAAAAAAATAATCATCTTTAAAAAGTTCAAACTCTCAACTGTGGGTTCCTATAAAATAAAACATAAACACTTTCTTATTTTAAAATGGAAGAACCAAGGCACAGTCACAATCTGAACAAAGCAAAACCATAATCTAACTGTGTAAATAGCTCAACATCTAATGTCTGTGGCCCAGGCATGATCATGGCTCCTTCAAAGGACTTGGGTCAGTTCTTGGAGTCTGCTCTTTGCAGCACATACAGCTCTTCGTCTAGGCTCTGGCTGGCTCCACTTCACCGTTGCTGCTGTCCTTGGTGAGCATCCTTTGGTACGGGCATCTCCAAAATTCTGGGGTCTTTTGCTGTAAGCAGGCTGCACTTTCACCAATAGGCTTCCCTGGGCTCTCTTCATGGACTCCTGCCCTGCCACACACTGCCAAGCCTTAGCTTCTCTCCATGAGGTCTTCAGGCCTTCAAAGCCAGTACCACCAGGGTGACTTTATGCAATGCCAAGTTTGGCTGCCAGTGTGAGGTGTACCATGGCTACCTCCAGAACTCTGTTTCTGTGTACTGACTCTGAGGAAACACTTCCTAGAAGACTTCTCTTCAGTGATGCTGGCCTCCTCCTCCTCTTTCTCTTCTTCCTCCTCCTTTTGGTTTTTCAAGACAGGGTTTCTCTGTGTAGCTTTGGAGCCTGTTCTGGAACTTGATGGGAGATGTCATTCTGTATATATGTTTCTCGTACTGGTTAATGAATAAAGCACTGTTGGCAAATAGGAAAGCAAGATAGGTGTGACTAGGAGACAAGGAGGAGAGAGGAAGTAGTAAGGAGGAGTCAAGATGGAAAGACTGGGGAGACCAGATGCCGGCCCCATTCCCCCGTAAGATGAAAGCACGTGGAAATAGGTAGATTAACAGAAATGGGTTAATACTTAAGACAGAGCTAGCCGATAAGAAACTAGTACCTGGCCAACAGCATTATATCTGATACAGAGTCTCAGTGTGTTATTTGGGGCTGGTGCAGCGGCGGGACCAGACCAGCGGCAGGTGGAAAAACCTTACTCTTTAGACCAGGCTGGCCTGGAACTCACAGAGATCCATGTGCCTCTGTCTCTCAAGTGCTGGGATTAAAGGTGTGTACCCGGCAATGCTGATCTCTTCTTAATCATCATTATTTTCTCAGCTCTAGTCAACTAGCATTGTTTTTTCTAGTAAATCAAAGGTTTTACTTCAGTAGTTCTGGCTTCTTGTTAATCACAGCAGATTCCTCAGCCCCAGCTAGCCAGAACCATGGACTCTCAACTCAAGCAAACGGCCCTGATAGAGTCTTTATGTGACTCGCAAACTTCCTTTGGAACTTCACATGCCAGCCCTCCACTGCCCGAATTGTTTTCAACATTCTTTTCTTCCAAGCTCCCACAGAACAGCTCACAAAGTTTTGAGCAATGGCTTTTCTAACTCAAATGTCCAAAGTCCTTCCACAATCTTCCCAGACAAACATGGTCAGATCTGTCACAGAAATACCCAACTGTTGTAGTATGATGAATCATTATAACTAAAAGCAACTTGGGGAGGAAAGGGTTTATTTGGCTTACATTTCTACATCATAGTCAACAGGAACTCGAATAGGGCAGGAACCTGGAGGCAGGAGCTGATACAGAGGTCATGGAGGGTGCTGCTTACTGGTTTGTTCCCCATGGCTTGCTCAGCTTGCTTTCTTATAGAACCCAGGACCACCAGCCCAGGGATGGCATCACCTACAATGGGCTGGGTCCTCCTCCATCAAGCACCAATTAAGAAAATGCCTTACAGGCCTGCCTACAGCCCCATCTAATACGAATATTTTCTTTTTGTTTTGTTTTTCAAGACAGGAATTTTTTTTTCTGTGTAGTTCACCACAACTACCACTCCCTTTTTTAAAGACAGGGTTTGTTTGAATAGCCCTGGCTGTTCTGGAACTCACTCTGTAGACCAGGCTTGCCTCAAATTCAAGAGATCTGGCTGCCTTTGCCTCCCATGTGCTGGGATTAAAGCCATATGCTGCCACCACCACCACTGGCCAGGGGAACATTTTCTTAATCCAGATTTCCTCTTCTTTGATGACTTTAGCTTCTGTCAAGTTGACACAAGACTATCCAGCACAGTGGTTATTAGAACAGAGATATCATGAAGGTATAGTTAGTAGGAAAGCATGTGTTGAAATTTTATCTAGGAAGTGCTTTTTGCAACTCAAGGCTTTC